GGAGCCATGTGACCCGCCAAGGGTTTGGATTCCCAGCCAGGACAACCTGAAATAAACTGGGTGCTCATGCATGCATCCAGCATCTTGAGCTGGAGCGCTAAGGAGAGGGGAGAGCAGAATGACAGATCCTCCCGTGAGGGTGCTTCTCTTCTTCCTGGTTTCTCTTATGGAGGTGCCCATTCTATCTATAGTGGGGAAAGAAAAAAAAAATAGCCAACTATGACTGGCAAAAAAAAAAAAAAAGACGTTTTGGGCCAGCAAGTGGTATGGTGCTATGGCACTAGATCCCACGTGGCCGACTCCAGGGTTTGAGTTCCGAGATCTGGAGGCTTGGAAAACACGCCTGGCATGCGTGTGTGCGTGCCCAAGATCCTGAGAGGAGAATGGAGGAGAAGGGATTGCAATGTGGCCATCTCCCCTGGGCGGTGATTTCTCATTTTCCATCTCTCTTTCTCACTGGTGAGTGCTTGCACCCTATAGGAAAATAATAAAATTAAAAAAAAAAAACAAAAACATTCGCTGTGAAAAACCCACAAATACCCCTGGCCTTAGACATCTTTCAGCTCTTTGTCTTTTTCATCCTCACTCTATTCCAGACATCAGCATCCATCATCTACTCCTTTCCCAAACTGTCTTCAGTCAGAATTGCTTTGGAATGACTTTCTGAAATCTCCTTCTATTTCTACCTCTGACTGCAGAGCTCCTTTTAGCTCCGTGTGTGTGTGTGTGTGTGTGTGTATGTGTGTGTGCGTGTGTGTTAGATTTTTGCTGCAAGGTGCATGCACTTGCCAGAGACAGAGACGGAAAGTGAGAAATCACCCCCCAAGGGGGACGACCACACTGCAGTCCCTTCTCCTTCATTCTCCTCCTGGGATCTTGGGCCCGCACACACACGCCCGGTGTGAGCTTGAAGCCACTGGCACCGGGACTTGAATCGCGGTCGGCCATGAGGGAGTGCGGCGACGTAACCGTGACACCACCTGCTGGTCCTGCTCCCTGCACTCTGAACACCTACTTTTTTCGCTCACGTTCAGTCCCTTCCTGTCTTTACTCCCCCACGTTTAGTCTGAGCCTATTGCTCCATCTCTTGCCACCTGAATACTTTCCATCACCTCGAACCTGTGACCTTCAGTCTCATCCACTTGGCACAACCTGACAGTGGCCCAATCAAATTCTGTTCCTCTCCACTGGGCGTTTTTGGAACTGCAGAGCTGTTTGGAAAAGTGCCCTCACAAATTCTTCGCCTTCTTGGCGAGGTCCTCCTGCAACCTCACACGTCGGCCTTCTCCCATCCCAAGTCAGCTTTTTTAAACCTGTATGGTCTCCTCAAGTCCCTCCCTCACCCATTCTTGGGCTTGATTTCTACTTAAAAAACAAACAAAACAAAATAACTGGGAAGAGGCTTTTCTAGGGCTTGACCTTAAGCCTACAAACCTGTCAGTGTGTAGCTGTCTTGGCCTCCTTCCCGCCTTCCTTTGTCTGGCTGGAAGGGGAATCTCCTCCCGGGTCTGAGGCTGAGTCTTCCACTGTGCCCCCTCCCACTGCCTGGACCCCGGCACCCACTGAATCACCATTCTTCTTGGCTGTATCTTCAGCTGTCTCTCACTGGCTCTTTCCACTCAGCATGGAGCTACAACAGTCTTATCTCCCCTGTATAAAATACCTCCCTTGATCTTGTGCCTTCCTCTAAAATTTTGTCATGACCTTACCTTTTCAGATGACTTCTTTTTAAAAGTAGTCTACAGTCCCTGGACTGCTGCTTTTTTAACCAGCAGAAAACTGTCTTTTCTTATTAAGTCTCTGAAGTAAACTTGTCTAAGTCATCAATGTCCTTGTAGGAAATCTCCTGCCCGTAGTGTTTTATCATACTGACCACTTTCTCCTTCAGAGTCTCTCCTCCATGTCCATGACCGACTCATTTTTCTTGAACCTCTCTTAATCAGTTTAGAACGTAGGCTAGACTCCCCCTGAAGCAAACAGGCAAGGATGGTGTGCAAAGAGTTTGTTGGAGAAATGGTGCCAAGAATGGTAAGGGAGTAGGTGAGGCAGGGAAAGGAAGGCAGAGGTACAGGAGTGCTACTGATTACGGCTCTGGGCCACTGGGCTCAGCTCCACTGAGAAGCCTCTGGAAGACCATGGGCTATACATCCCCAGGTTGTCCACCTGAGGAATGAGCTAGGCCATCTGTCCACTTTCAGGGAGGAAAAACCTTTCTCGAATCCTCTGAGGTTCACTGTCAGTGAGCTTGCAAATGTAACTAACAACGAGAAAGGGGAAAAAGGGTCTGTCACTGGTATGGTGGTTAAGGCAGCTGGATCCTGCATGGCGACTGTATGGTTCGAATCCTGGACACAGCAGCTTGAAAGACATGCAGGGTGTATGTGTGGGTGTGTGCGTGTGCCTAAAATCTCAAGAGGAGAATGGGGAAGGAACTGTGGCATGACCGTTCTCTGTAGGAGGAGCTTTCTCACTCTCTCTCTGTGTCTGTCTCCGGTGAGTGCATATGCCTTCTTGCAAATCAAAAAATAACACTAAAACAAAATGTTTCAAAGGGGAAAAAGGTTATTCATGCTATGAGAGTGTATGAAAGAAGTGACTCCCTGAACAGCTAAAGTTGAAGATTTATATGCCTAAATGCATAGGGGAGAGAAAGGAGGACAAAAAACTTGTCCTTCGGTGGGAAGAACAGTAGTTTCTAAGAGAACAAATGGGAGAAGAGGTTGTGATGATTGCTTATGTAGGTGTGAGCGTCTCCATTTCTTTCCCCATGGCGATGCTGTGAAGCGCCCCCAGAAGGATCTATGGCAGCCTCACTCACACGAGCTTCTGCTTTCAGTGACATAAGGGGCGCTCTAAGAAGTGTTGGACCTCAAAGTGTTTTAGTTCAGTACAATCCTCGTACCAGCGCTGGGGTCCGAGTAGACACCCACGCCCCCACTCCCTACCCACTGCTTCTGCTGTTGGCAAGCTCGCTCTTTCTGCTGGAGCGAAGACCTCAGGCAGAGTCTAGGTACAAATGTCGAGGGCCAAAGGGCATAGACTACTGCCAGGCTCCTTCTATTTGTTTGTTTAATTTGCTAGAGGGTGCGCGCACTCACTAGAGAGAAACAGAGTGAGAAAGTTGGGGCCGGCAGGTGGCATGGTGGTTAAGGGCGCTGGACTCCCACGTGGCTGACTATGACTTGAGTTCCAGACCTGGTGGCTTGCTTTCTCACTTCCTCTCTCCTCTTCTCTCTCTTGCTCTGTCCCTCTCTGGTCAATTTTAAATTAATTAATTAATTAATTCATTAAAAGTTAAACTAAAATAATTCTTAAAAATTTTTTTAAAAAAGTAGCCCTGGTGTGTTGGCCATGCCACAATCCCTTCTTCTTCCACCTCCTCTCGGGACTTTGGGCATACACACACAGGCGCCTGGCTTTTTTTTCAGGCCACTGGGTCTGGGACTCGAACTACACAGTCGGTCACGTGGGATCTAGCCCCTTAACCACCACACCACCAGCTGGCCCTCTTGTTTTTCTACTTCTGTGCCTGCTTCTTTCATGCTGGTATTCTCCAGGGTCCTCTCCCCCATATCTGCTTCTCATGCTCTCCACTTTGCTGGGTGACCTTAGCAACTCTCACAGCTCCAGTTCCCTGATACCTGGATGCCACTCACATCTGTATCCCTTCCCCCAATCTCCAGCAGTCTAGATGGACAGATGTGGCTGCTGCCTCTTGACATTGGACCCTGCATGGTCTACTGCAAACTCAACATGATAAAAATCAGGAAGGATGATGGGGCCAGCAGGTGGCAAGGTGGTTAAGGTGCTGGAATCTCACATGGCCAACTATGGTTCGAGTCCTGGACCAGCAGCTTGCTTTCTCACTTTCCCTTTCTCTCTCTTTGGTCAAATTAAAAGAAAAAAAATCAAATAAATAATAATTTTTAAAAAATCAAGATTATAGTCCCTCAAATCCTATTTCTTTTCTGTGATCCCCTATCTTTTTAAAAAGAATTATTTATTATCATTATTTTTAAATTTTTGACCAGAGAGGAGAGAAAGAGAGGGAGAGCAAGTCACCAAGTCCGGGACTTGAACCATGGTTGACCATGTGGAAGTCCAGTGACTTTAACCACCACACCACCTACTGGCTCTTCCCTATCTTTTTTTAAAAGAATTTATTTAATTTTTCTTCATTATTATTTTTTAATTTGGCCAGAGAGAGACAGATAGAGAGGAAAAGTGAGAAAGCAAGTTGCCACATCTGGGACTTGAACTACAGTCAGCCATGTGGGAATCTAGCGCCCCAACCCCCATGCCACCTGCTGGCCCCTGTTATTCCTGATCTTACCTTCCTTTTCTAAAATTCCATTCTTGCTTCTGCTAGGAGTCTAAAACACTCATCCTACAACATGGCCAGGCATTGGCTCGTAACTTGTTTTAGGTGGTAGAGATATGGCAATGACCAAAATAAACGAGATTCTGGCTTTCATGAGCTGGGATTCTACAGATACATAAATAGGAAAGAAGAAAATTGTCAGGGACCAGCAGTTAGCGTAATGGCTATGTCACTGGACTCCCACGTAGTCTACCGCGGTTCACGTCCCGGACCCAGTGGCTTAAAACTCACGCCGGGCACGTGTGCGTGCATGCCCAAGATCCCAAGAGGAGAATGGAGGAGAAGGGATTGCAGCATGACCATCCCCCCTGGGGGGTGATTTCTCGCTTTCTGTCTCTCTGTCTCTGTCTGTCTGTCCGGCGAGCGCACGTGCCCTATTGCGAAAACCTCTCAAAAAAAAAAAAAGAAGAAAATTGTCAGTGATAACATCCATGCAGAGATGGGAGGCTATCATTATACTTGACAAGACGGGGTCGGGAAAGACCTTACAGTAGAGAAGACACTGACGGTCAGAACTAACTGACACGAAGGAGACATCCAGGCAAAGGTCATGTTTCTAGGGACAGATCGTGTTACTCCCCAGCTGATAATCCTTCAGTGGCTTCCCAAAGTCCTCGGGATGTCACTTTCCCTAGCATGGCAGGGAAAGTATTCCACCATCTGGCCGGTAGCCTTCCTCTCCAGCTTCTTCACGTTCGGTGCTGCCAACTCACTGAGTGCTCAGGACCACCTGTCGGACAGCTGGAGGCTGGCTGAGTGAGGACTGTTCCTCACCCACCTCTGTTACTGTGCTCATGGGTGACTCACTTTTCATTTAAATGAGCTTGGTGTTGGGCAAAAGGGTAGAGGCTAACCGGTCCGGACAGCTGCTGTTCTAGGGAAGCAGAAAGTGAGCCACACAAGTACCATAAAACGTTATTTTCACTAAACACAAAAGGAAATGAATCAGGTGGCTCGATCGTGACGTTTTATTTAACGGAATATATCCACAAATACTCAGTTTAACGTGCGATTCGTAGCAGATTACTGAGCTAGCTGACATTCTTTTTGTCTTGTATCCTAAGTCCTCAGAGTTTTTGTGGCGCGTTAGTAATGCAACTAGACCCACAGGGAGAGGTCCTGGTTCCCGTCCTGGGACACCCGTATGCCCTCAGGGCGGGCTGAGAGTGGAGGCGGGGTCGGGTGAACCCCTGTGGGGAGCCTCTGTCTCTCTCTCATGGAAGAAGTAAATGAACTCTTGAGCATGTCTCAAAATCCAGCGCCTCTATCTCTCACCTACATCACGTGTGAATCAGAACAGCCACATTTCAAAATGCGAGGGACCCACCAGGGGCCAGGGATGACCGGAAGCAGCCGGGCACCCCCAGGCCACCCACCCCACCCCCTGGCCGGTTTATCTTCAGAGCCGCCCTTGGTGCTCGGTGTCGTGGCTGGCCCCTACGCCACAGCCTTTGGAGGCCAGGCCTCAGGCTGGAGGCGCCCCACGAAGGCCGGGCCTGCGGAACGCGTCCCTCCTCCGCCCGCCCGCGGCCCCCCTCGCTC